TTTCTTAATTGATTTAGTACTTTCTTAGTTATGTTAAAACCTTAATCCATTTAATTATTCTAAAAAAGATTTTTCTAACTAAATTTCAAGAGAATTGAATTCTTGGATCTCGCCTTCCTTAGATTCTCGAAAGAACGCTCTTGAGGCGCACGCTTTGGGTTGTGTTCATTTCATCCTCTGATTCTAAGACACTTAACTTTTAAAGCATTTAACCCCTAATTAGATTAAATATTTAACCCTAATTTAATCATTTCTCAAAAATACGACTAAACAAACTATTCTTTTTGATTAAAAAAATGGATACATCGAACTCTTGAGGTCTATCACTTTTTGGGTTCTCGAAAGATTGCTCTTGGGGCGCACGTCTTGGGTTGTGATCCTTTCGATCTTTCATTTCTAAAAACCTTTTTAAAATTCCTAATGCATCTACTTAAAATATTATAATCACATTCAAATCTTTCTTCCTAACTAAATTATGAAAGAACTGAGTTCTTGGAGTCTCGCATTCCTTGAATTCTTGAGTGACCGCTCTTGGGGCGCACACCTTGGATTGTGGGTCATTTGACCTTTTGTTCCTAAAATATTCATCCTATAATGGAAAAAGACGCTCACAGTCCTACAAACACGATTTCGTAAATTTATTGAATCAAAAAGGTGTCACTGGGATCTAGCATCCCAATAATGCCCCGATTAATTGGTTGCGAGGCTGACGTCTCGTCTATCAAGAAATCGTCATTCTCCCTTAATATTCAACCAATCTAACTTCGCTTCCTCGCCCCCGTGCGATCGAAACCCTAAACTTACGCAAATCAAACTCTTTTCTCAATCTAAAACCCTAATACAGGCTAATCCATTCAAATCATTTTCTTAATTAAATTGCGAAAGAACTGAGTTCTTAGAGTCTCGCATTCCTTGAATTCTTGAAGTGATCGCTCTTGTGGTGCACGCCTTGGGTTGTGAATTACTCAACCTTTCGTCCCTAAAATACTTGCCTTAATTATTTGGACAAAGAAATGCCATTGGAGTCTGGCATTCCATATGGTACTTTCATTGGCCATTCAAACAATTTCATAATTATTTGAATGAAAAAGGTGTCGTTGGGATCTAGCATTCCAATAACGCCCCGATTAATTGGTTGCGAGGCTGACATCTCTTTTATCGAGTAATCATCATTCTCCCTCAAAATACTCAACAAATCAACTCTCTTTTCTCGCCCCCGTGCGATTGAAACTTCTCAAAACACTAACTTTTCGCCCCCGTGCAATCTACAACTCAAGCAACTTCTCCCAAAGAACATTATTTAGTCCCTTCTTCCACGCATATGAACTAGTGCTTCAACCCCCCTAGTGAGCAGACAAGCCAACGTTTAGCACTTAGAATGTGACCTAAACACTCGTTCATTTCAACCAAACAACCGTAATATTCCGAACTACGGACGCTCTGATTTCTCATTTATCAATGAGAATACGTAGGTATAGGATTGGGAGATCCTAGTGAACTACCTTTTTCTTTTTTATCCCAAACCTTTTACCGTAGTCCCATGAACTATGATGCTCTGACTTTCCCATTGCACGAAGGAGTACGTAGGCACAACGACCCCAATCCTTGGCGAGCACCTTAATATAAAACCACCCATTTCCTCTTTATAAGCAAATCTTTAGAAGAAAACAAACAACCTAGCTAGCATTTCTCTCGAATCGAATCAAGAGGTTCCCGTTGAGTACAACGGACGTAGAGGGTGTTAATACCTTTCCTTTGCGTAATTGACTCCCGAACCTAGAATTTGGTTGCAATGACCATGTTCTTATCTCCTTAAATGTTTTGTCGATATTTTCCTATTCCTTCCTTGGAATGAATAAAGTTTGGTGGCGACTCTGTTCGAAAGTTTTTTCCGCGTCCATCGCGAGGATCGTATTTTTCGAGGTACGACACAAGGCAAATAAGAATTTCATCCCTCTTGAAGCATAAGCAAATGAGTAAGCCAAATAAAGGCAAAGATCTATAATACTCCAAGCATAGGGAAAGAGACCTAATTCTAAGTCCAAGGGTCCAAGAATAGTCCAAGAGGTCCAAGGTCTAAGAATAGTCCAAAAGCATAACCACAAAGTTAAGAACACCAAGTTTTTTTAGAGTTTTAATCCTTTATTAGTGTTTTAAACAAGATATGGTCCAAGTGGACAAAAGAAAAATAGAGGAAACATAAACACATGTCCAACAGACAAAGGAAAAAAATAACTGAAGCATAAACAATAATATGATATGAGATAATAAAAATGGAGCATAAAATTAAAAGAGAGATAGGGAGAAAGAAAGAAACATAAACAAAATTAGTAAAATAATATTATTGGTGAGTTAATGATTAGTTGTTAGAACAAATGATCAACGATGGTTAGTTCATGCACTTAGGCCAAAGTTAATAAAGACTCGTTAGAGGATTGATAAAATCAAAGCCTCCTAACAATAAGTTTCATAAGTGATGGACCTAAGACACGTAATCAACCATACTTTGACTTTTAAACATAAGTTTGAGCCACAAATGATCACTTTCCGTTTACGGGACAATTTAGCGCTATGTTAAGCAATCGTAATCGGTTTTATGTAGAAACCACGACTATCTGAGGTCGGTCAATAACAATGTTAGTGTTAATGCATGCTAGAGAAGTGATATGTAGATCACTCTCCGAAAGCAATACCGTACAAAAAGAAAATAGGTAACAATCTCATCTTCATCAAGAACTTGAAATAAGTTCAAACGATATCGAAGATTTTCACCGATCAAAAGAAAAAGAGAAGAGGAAAGGAAAAGCCAAATTGAATTACAAGTTCAAGATCATTCCATCTTTAAGTTCATCCACTCATCTTGGTGGATTAAAGCACTAATCGGTTACCACTGCTAAAACAGCAGTAAATCCACTTTTAAAATGTGCAAAACTTGATCAATCATTTTTTCAAACACCTCATGATCAAGTATGTAATTGAGCACGAAAATTCAAGTAAAATAACAGCAAACAACACCAATAGAACACAATTTACAAGATCCAAAGATCAAGCAACAAGAATCAACAATATATCACATTGTGAAGGATGTATCAAGAGCAACAATGGTGGATCAAGAAATTATCACTCCAAATTTAGAAATTCTTCAAATAAACTCCATAAACCACACTCCAAAGGCTTGATCTACTGAAATTGATGATGAAAAAGTGAATGGGTGAAGGTTTAGCTCAAAGGTTAGTGAGTTCTAATGATGAACTTACTAACTTTCAAAGGAAGAAAGAGCTCTGGTGAATTTGGTAGTTGGAGAAAATTGAGAGTCAAGAAGGAATTTGACAAGGTGATTTTGGCTATCAAAAGCTTGTGAAATGAATAAAATGAGGTCTCTATTTATAAGATTTAGGCTTGGAAATTTTGGTGGATTGGAGTTTGGTTTGGAAACAAAATTAGGCTTGGAATTTGAATTTGGAGAGAAATTAATGATAAAGTGGTGATTAGTGAAGGTGTATGGTGGGAATTAATTATGATGAGGTAGGGGAATTAAAATGAAGTGATCTAGAATATTCTCATGATGAAACATTTGAATTTGGTGCCAAAAATGCTGCAGAATATGAATTTGGCCAATTTTTACAAAATGCGCACAGGGTAATCGATTACCCTAATACTGGTAATCGATTACCACAATCAAAAAATGTGAAAAATTGTCTTTTTGATGTGATGACTTGGCTCTGGCTCGAGTCTTTTGCTTGTCAAAGAAGGCATGAAAATAAACACATGAACCTTGGAGTCTCTTGAATAAAAGTCAATCAAATCTTGGAAAACTCTTGATCATGTGATTTTGAATAGTTTTGCAAATCAACTTTGACTCTGTTCAGATGAAATTCATTCGAGCTGAGGGACTGTTATTTGATATCCTTACTCCAAATTCTTCTTGAAAAAGTTAGTAAAGGAAAAAAAAACATTTTTTAGATTTTGAATAATGGTTAGTAAATATAAATATAAACAAATATCAAACAAACAAGAAAACAAAAGTGTCTGGTGATCTCTCAAGAATAAACACACAGAGAAAAACAAGAGAACCAAACTTACAATCTTGTTTGTGGAATGAGATACAAATGATATGTGAGATCTTAGAGGTAAAAATTAGGATATTACAGTGTCCAATAAACATCGATTAACAGTTAAAAATCTTAACTAAGTTAGAAACGATTCTAAAGAATAAACCAATTATACTCTAGCAAAATCAACTTTATACTTCAAGATTCTATTATGCCTGTTCCAAACATGAAACCAAACATAACATTAAAAGGGTTTATTATCTTTAATTTTAGTATTGTTTAATCCTTTAATTTTTTTAAAAGTTTCAACAAGTTATGTAAAAAATAAAAAAAAAACTCAATTACCTAATGGAAAAATTTCTTATATATTTAAAACTAAAACCACAACTGCTAAAATCTAATAGAAAAAAGAAATAAGAAAGGGGGACCTCATCCAGCCAAATTCCATCTAAGTTGGATAGCTAATGTGAACTAATTTGTTCCCATTCCTATGAGTATGATGGAAGTCTAAACTATCAAAATAAGGATATTGAGCCAAACAATTTTTCACAATACAGATCACATACGCATTCCTATGAGTATGATGGAAGTATAAATTAATAAAATAATTTAGTTTTTTATATTTTATATAAAAATGGACTAAAATAAAGTGTTTTATAGAAAGTACTGAAAATATATAAATCGTTGCTGACATTCTTTGAAATGCTTGAATGCACTAGTAAAAAATTATCACAAACATGTAAGGAAAGATACACTTGTTTCAACTAAACCATTTCTAAGAAATTCAGGGAAATCCTATGCATCAGCCAAGTTTCTTTTCCCAACCATGCTTCAGAATTGTAAATTACTTGACAAATAAGTTATCTATGATTTATTCAGTTTTTTATTATTAATTCTATTCTGCTTTACAGAACTTCAAACTAAATTCAGCATTAACGAAGTTTTGGCTCAAGAACTACTGGCTTTCTTTTTCTCTATAAGCTTCACAAAGTTGCGGACGATCGTCTTGCCCTCAGGGGTTATTATGCTCTCTGGATGAAACTGAACACCCTATAGTTGCAAAGAAATGTAAAAATCAATTAGTGAAAAACGAGAGAAACTAAGAGTTTAAAGAGAAAAAGGATGAACTTAAAATCAACAGATTCAATCTCCAATTTGGTTTTGAAAATATGGCTATTAAGTATACACAAAACAATGTGAGGGATAGATGGCTGGATACAAAGGTTGCAAAAGTCCATAATAATTGCTTATTAATTGTAGAATATATTGCTTTTAATGTATGTGATTCAATTTGACAAAACAGGAGATTAAACCCGTTCTACAACAAGCGCCGGTATCAGAGTCACGTTAGTGTCTGACACCGACACATATCAGACACTAGACACGCATTTAATCTGAAGTATCATTGCTACGTGGAACTTACAAATTAAATTCGTGGAATAAGCTTTAACAAATACAAGTTAATACTAATTAGAGTAAAGAAAAATGGATCCAAACCTTTATTGGATCCTGCCATGACAGACCGGACAAGAAGGAGAATAAGGTGTTACCTGCATATGCCGATATTTCTTGTGGCGAACAGCCATTATGAGACCATCTTCAGTCCATGCAGTTACCTCAAGTTCATCATGAGGAAAGCTCTCCTTTTCAATTACAAGGCTGTGATATCTTCCAGCCAAGAAAGGACTGAAAATGATATTGAAGTTAATTAAGTCAAACAATTCAAAAGTATTTATAAGCCAACGGAAAGTAGCTGCTGAGTAGTTAACCAATTATAGTTCAAAATTGCGGTACGCATTGCAATTGCAGTCGCAATATAATGTGGTTTTTGAGATTCCCGCAACGATATCACAGTCACAATTATGGCCACAGTGACGGCATTTTACCTCAACATAAAGGATCATGACGTAACTGCAACTGCGAGCACAATCACAGTTTTAAACCATAAACCAGCCCTGAATTCTATTATAGTGTATGAAAGAAAAGGCAACAACGATAATGCTTCTCATAAATTTCATACAAAAGTAATAAAATTTAAAACCTACTTTGGTAGTCCAGCAAGTGATCCATCTTCTCCTTTCTCGTCATAATAAACCAGAGAACTTTTTCCATGCATCACACCATAAGGAGAACGAACAATTTTCCCTGTACGAGACAAAAGAACTAGTATTTATCCAATTGAAACTACACACAAATACACGTCAAGAAAATTTTACGTTGAATTATGAGCCTGATCGTTGAAAGTTTTCACTTAGATTACAAGGACTTAGTATGACTCACCGCCAAAAGCCTCTCCCATGCACTGCAATCCCATGCATACACCAAACACAGGTACAGTTGGTCCAAGCTCCAAAACTGTTTGCAAAGATATGCCTGAATCTTGAGGTGTTCCTGTAAGGAGGAAACAATGTACATTAGAAATCTTGTTGTTGCAATATATCAGAAATTTCGAAGAAGGCAATCTCTACCTGGCCCGGGTGAAATCAGCACTCCTCTTGGATTTTTTCTATTCAAATTAAATAAAACACATAATCCTTTATTGCATCAGAAACTTCAAAGAATGTATATCATACCAAAAACAGCTTCATCAATAAGAAAATATTAGACATGCATAAACAGCAAAACGATTTACCTTTTCAACTCCTCCACCGTTAACTCGTCATTTCGGTAGACCTCAAAGTGAACTCCTAACTCGCCCATATACTTCAAAAGTAAATGAAACAATATTAGAATAACCAATTTCGTTAAACAAAGAAGCATGTCAAGTACAATAAAAGATTGCATGCAAGACACTATTCTTAACAACACTTTTCTTGAAGCAACCCGCGAAGAATCTCAAACATGTTCCGAATCTTCTGCTACATTTTACAAAATATTCGAGACTCTTTTACATTAGATCTAGGAAACCTGGTTAAACTACTTTTTCCCATTCACCAAATTAGGGTGAAAAACTGAAGAAAAAAAGGCCACAGCTAAAGCTTATTTCATAACCACCGGCAAATAAACTAGGTTCTTTTGAAAGGTAACATTTTCAGATGCAAAAAGCACAATTGCTTGAAAATAGAAATCTCAATTTCCTGCAAATTCCACAATATATTAACATATAGTTTTTTTAGGGTTTTTACAACCATGACATGACACAACAGTAACTTTGTTGCAAATTTTCACACAAAAACTGACAAACGACAGATTCATCACTCATCAAGCTTAAATTTTAATTTTCAACAGAAAAACAGAAGAATTAAATAAATAAAAAATGACACAAACCTGGCAAAGATTATAGGTAAAGCTATCATAGTTATCAATAACAACAATTGGATCATTGGATTTTTCAACTGAAACACTTTGCTTCGAATTGACTTCCAATACACCTGATGAAGACGCTTTCAGCACAACCCATTTTGCCCTCTTCGCCTCAAAACGGAAATCTTCCAAAAAAAAAATAAATCAAACTTTACATCAAAACCAATTAACAGATAAAAAAAACACAATTCATAATTATAAAGAAAACAGAAAAAGAGTATGAAAAAGATTACTTGAGGGAAGTTTTTTGTGGTTTATGAGAGGCTGAGGAGATTGATTGGGTATGAGAGAAAGAGATGGGTTTGGTTGAAGAAGTGAAATGCGAGAAATGGATGTTGCCGCCATTGTTGCTTAATGCACCCCCAACTGTCGCCCTAGTGTATGCTGATTTATGTCTTCTTCAAAACCAACTTATTTAACTATTTATAACGGTTCCTTGCATCTAAATTATTTTATTTTAAGAAGTTTCGTACCCACTATATTTTTCATAATTATATATAAACAAGAAAATATTAAAAAAGAAAAAAAAAAACTAATATTTCTAGATACTTGGTCTAGATTCGAATTGGAGCACCAAGATATAAATGCATATATAAAGTCAACTTCGTAAGTAAAATTGGGACATGCTAATGGTCTCTCTAATTTACCCTTTCTTTGTTTTAAATTTTACACTTACATTTGCCCTTATTGGTAATTAGCATTCAGACGGACATTCTCGTGTCCGTCAATCTGCTTTTTTTAATGTGCACAACATAAAAAAATAAACGTATGTATATTTTGTATATTCAATTCTTTTTATTTATAGTTAATTTATAAAATATTAAGAGAGAAGTCATAATAAAAAATGTTAGAATATTAATTAATAAAAAAAACATTAATAAATGGCAAATATTATCTGTTTTAAATATTTTTTTCCTCTCAAATTCCTTCTAGAATGTCTGGGTCAAACAAACAAACAAAATAGGATAAAAAATTATGTTAAAGAAAAATAATATGTTAATTTATTTCTTCCTCCATCCTATTGATTAATGATTTGAAATGATCACCCAACAACACTTCACTCAACATCCTGTAACACATGGCAACAACTTAAGAAAAGAATTAGAAAAAAAAAAAGGAAGCATTGCATTCTTTGTCGAATAAATTGAAAAGTTTTGCATCTCTCTCTCTCTCTCTCTCTCTCTCTCTCTCTCTCTCTCTCTCTCTCTCTCTCTCTCTCTCTCTCTCTCTCTCTCTCTCTCTCTCTCTCTCTCTCTCTCTCTCTCTCTCTCTCTCTCTCTCTCTCTCTCTCTCTCTCTCTCTCTCTCTCTCTCTCTCTCTCTCTCTCTCTCTCTCTCTCTCTCTCTCTCTCTCTCTCTCTCTCTCTCTCTCTCTCTCTCACATTATTCTTATTCTCTTTAAATAATTTTGTTTCATTACCATCATTTATATTTTCTTTTTCTTACTCTATAATTTGAAGCATAATGTATTTATTCTCTTTAATTTGTTATAGCATGTTTCTTATTCACTTTTAATTAATTTGTTATGGTGTTTTTCTAATGATTTTTCATTAAAAGTATTCTTATTATTAAAAAAAATATAAGCAAAATATAAATGGAATAAAAGAGACTATAAAATATGTATAAAAAAAGCTCACTGTCACTATGAATGACTGTATTTTTTTTTAAACTCTTCATTAAAGAGTTATAAATTTGCATAGGATAATCCATTACAACTTAACTAAATATAATTATTAATTTTTTAAATAATTCAAATAACTGCTCTGTAATTAAATGAATGTTACATATGATTGACAATTTTATTATTTTTAAGAGTATTTTTAAGTCATCACTTTGATTTTATTTTTCCAAGAAGTATCTAATTGTTCTCAGATCAAAAGTTTCAAATATGCATTTATATGCATCTGCTCAATTTTAATATATATATATATATATATATATATATATATATATATATATATATATATATATATATATATATATATATATATATATATATATATATATATATATATATATATATATATATATATATATATATATATATATATATATATATATATATATATATATATATATATATATATCATTCTCACACACACAAATATAATTTTAATAAAATATTGCATAATGAGATATGAACATAATATATAAGGGACTTTCTTGAGTTTTCAAGATATATGATGAAATAATACATTGGACTGTCAAAATCAAAGAACTTAACTTATCATAGTCATATTATGGTGTGTTAAAATTAATGGTAGCACGTATGACTTCTGCCATGGAATATCGATTTTTATATGTTTGTGAATTTCAGCCGTAATGGGAATGTTTTCTTCGTCTGGGGTGAATGTGGTCTTGATTGGAAATAAGCTTCATTTTCTCTTCAAGAATTAAAAGATCATTGATCAAAATTGAATAAATAAAAAAAGTATAGAATGGAAAAAAGTTTTTAAAAAATAGTATTGATTGAGAAAGAGATGAAATTTAGTAAAAGAAATAGAAGATGTTTCTTAACTTGTGTCACAATCGACGGTTAATGGAAGTTATAGATGTAAGTTTTTTTTTGTGAAAGATGGAAGTTAGTTATTCAATTGGTAACCAACAAAAGTAACCAACCACTCAAGTTATTTATAAAAAGGATAAAGGGCAATTTTGGAACAAAAATATGCCACTCCAAAAACTTGTATCTGTTGCACCCAAAATTTGACCAACATTTATTCACCCATTGAGTGTTTGAAAGTGGATACCTTCATCAGAAAGTTCAAGAGATCCCCAGAAAAGTGGTTTGAAACCAGGGTTGTGTGCTTCACAGTTTGAAAGTTGTGGGAGCTCCTCAGAGGATTCTGAGAACTTTGAGAATGAACTAGATGATTGGAGAAAGCCTATGAGATGTCTTGATAGCCCTCATGAATGCCAGAGAAGTCATTATGCAAGAGTTCAGAGGATTCAACCATGAATGGTAGAATTAGGGTTTTGACTGGGTCAACCCTAGATCAGCTGAAGATTTGGAGAAGGTTGAGACCTAATCCAAGGGCCATGAGATCATGGAATGATGCATAGAGATGTTATAAAGATGATTCCTAGACCAAATCATCATGATTGAGGAGTTTGAGAAGTTTTGAGTTAGGGTTCCCAAGGATTGACAGTGAAAAACCCTAATTTGATCCCTATTTTCCAGGCAGTTTTAGCTCTAGATGTGATTGATATCTCATCTTCCCCACAACATGAATGTTGTAGAGCTTGTTCTTAGCTTTAATTTGAGTGGTGGAAGTCCTTGATAGGAGTTACAGAGCTCAAGTTATGGTTTTGACAAATTACAGGTCAGTAGAGGTGTGTGAATCTGGGTCCTTGAAAGTCACCCAACTTGCAGACAACTTCTGCCCTAATAGGATGATTCCTATGATTTCTTGGTCAACATGAATGTTGAAGAGGATCTTCTTAGCTTTAATTTGAGTGGTAGAAGTCCTTGATTGGATTTGTGGAACTCAACTTATGGTTTGAACAAGACAGGGGGTATTTTGGTCATTTGTCAGTTATAGGTCATTTTAGCCAATGCCTAAAACTCCTATTTCCAAGCCTCAAATGGAAAAACTCAAAACATGAAAGTTGCTCAAAATGTGATTTTAAGTCTAGAAAGAAGGTCACAAATTGTTGAAAAAGCTCATAGCACAAGATTCCATGATTGGTCAAAAATGAACTAAAAAAGGCTTATAACTTTGAAAAGTTGAAATTGAAAAGTGATTTGGGAGATCCACAAATCCAAAATAGGTCATCCAATATATCATTTTGATTGGAAAAAACCATTTTAAGAACTTTGGTTTAAGTAGAATTTTCATTTGAGGCTTAAAAAATGAGGTTCCTTTGGAAATTTGTTGCTTGCATAAGAGGGCAACTTTGCAAAACCCTACACAAGCCAAAAATGCACTTGTTTTCCACTCATTCCTTCTTAATAATTCATGTAAGGGTATTTTGAGTCAAAATTACAAGGCATGGAGCATGGTATATGAGAAATCCAACTTGGCACATCATGAGATTTTAAAGAAACTTCCATCACATTCTAGATGATTCTAGAAACATCCATCAATTGTTATATAAGGAATGCCATGAGGAGAGTCTATGGTTGGTGAAACTTGAGCCAAGTCAGAGGAGAGAGAGAGATACATAGCCATTGGAGAAGTTTCTTCAAGTTAAAGCAATCCAAGATATCTTCCACTACCAGCCACCACCTTCACAACAAGTGCAAACAGAAGGTTGAGGACCATTGTAGGACCATCTTGGAGCAATTACAAGGACTGCAAGAATCCCCTCGAGCCTCACCATCAACCTCTTGACAGGTTCTTCTTCACCTTGCATCTCTTAATTTAATGAGTTTTAATTAGTTTCTTAGGCATAGGAATGATGTACTAGGCTAGATGATTCTTCCCCATGAGTTACAGCTTGTTCCATGGCAATCCATAACAGAACCTTGAATCTTTAATCTCCAAGATTGGTGTAGATTGTTAGTTTTAGGCAGCATGAATTGGTTTAGAATAGCAAGGGTAACATATAGAACATCTATAAACCATTATATTGAAGTTTGATGAAGATTGACATCAGTCGAGCATGGTGGTACCAAGACATTGAAGTGTTCTGTTTGGATTATTCAAGAAGAGTTAGAAGAAACTGATCGTACCATTGTATTCTAGGCATTTAGTAGATCGTTTTTCATGTTTGAGTCGAGCGAAGCCGTGGCCTGTGGAGAGAGATGGAGGAGCTGGAAGATGAGTGCGTGGGATTAGGGTTTCTGAAAACCCTAGGGTGTTTGGGGACGATGAAGGATGATCCGTTGGATCAGTCTCAAGTGTTGACAAATTCCTTGGATCCAACGGCCTTGATTAAACCTGAGAAAGAGAGGGAAAGTTTGAACTAAATGAAACGCAGCCGTTTCATTAAACCGGTGCTGGGCCTCAGTTTCTATTCGCCCCCCCCCCCCCCCCCCCCCCCCCCCCTTTTTTATGGCCCAACGCTTTTAACTGGCTTGTAGTGCTATTTGTACCCCCCCTCCCTTAATTCATTTTAATTATTTTATTTTCTTCCTTTATTTGTTCTGATTTGAATAATTCATTAAAAAATGACAATAAATGTTTTTTTAATCCTTCTTTTTTCTATGATTAGATTAAAATGAGTAGAAAATTATAAAAATAAAATTGAGATTTTATTTTTAGGTTTAATATTTTTAATAGATTTTCCAATTAAATAGCTTTTTAGTATGTTTAATTTGGTATGTGATTTTGTAGGAATTGTTTTAGTACTTTCCTTTAATCTTTTTTATCCATTCTTTTTGGTGCAATTAGATGATGAATC